TTAATAGTCATGAGAAATAAAAATTACAGACATGGAGAATATTTTAGGTAAATCCTGGCATTCAAGAAGCTGTCACTAATATTTGACAAGAATGTTGTTCAGTGTTTCATGATGAATTGAAGTTCTATAAATTGTATGTAAGATTAGTACACCTGAAAATGCAAGAGGTCTCGTTGCTTGTTAAGATCTGCTTCTATGCTATGGCGAGTGTGAGGCATTTTTGCAACAGATAGTAACTGTAGATCACAGGTTTCCAGTGGAGTCGATATCCGAATATACAATGGCAATTAATCAGCATAGTCAAGATAACACTGAACGAAAAAACGCATGTGTATGCGTTTAAGTTTCGGATTTTAAAAGCCATTCGATGGAAATATGTCAAAATAAAAGTTGTTACCAGCCCAACATTTTTTTTTTACTTTTCGCTCTTCTTAGGATAAGTAGACTTGAGTGAAGTCTATAATTTACTATGGAAAACAAGAGACAGGTTGAATATTTCTGAACGAGGTGATTTAAGAATTAATTAAACACATTTTATGCCCATTATTAGAAACAATACTTCAATACTCCAAGCCCACCCCCTCACAATAATTAAAATCGAACATTTTTGCAGTTAAAAATCTGTGATTTTGTATAAAAAAGTGTTTGTATTTGTAAAATTAAAAGTAAAAATAATACAAAAATAATAAAATATAAATCCAACAAACCGTTTTTTAAAAATTTTGTTCATTTTCTTAGTCTAGTTGCTATTATTAAGTTATTTAGGCGCAATTATTTCCATTATGATTATGTTGCTTGGCGTACAATTCATTGAAAAATGTAAGGTAATAAATGAAGAAACCCGTTCTTATAAAAGGGATCGATGGAAGAAAAGTTGGAAATTTCTGCTGGAAATGAAAATTGAGCTCATTTCTAAGGGAAATTAAGTTATAGGTAGCACCCTACCATTTCCTTTCATACAGGTATCTTTGCTGCTCGTCAAGAGTTGGGGAAAAGTATAGAAAACTAAATAAGGACTATATTCAGCAATCATAGTATAATTATTTAGGTTTACGATAAAAAGCAGCTTTGATTTTTCCATTGAATGCGGAAATATACATAGCACACAATTTTCGGCAAAAAATTAGCTTGTTCTTGTAGAAAGCAATTCATTAAAAATTTAATGAAATCTTTGCTACTAATACAAACGTCACAGATAATGAAAATCAGGTTCGAATTAATTTCAATTTGAAATATTTACATTTTCAGTATTATTATTATTAACTTTGCGTCTAACTTTTGAACACGCTTTGCAAAATGTTTGATTGTGAGTTTATTTTATTTCATAATTTAGGCTGAATGTCTAAAATAAGTATTAGATTTTTAAAATATTTTTGAATAAATGAAATGAACGCACAATGAAACTACTGTTTCAGATAATTTTATTTTCGATAAAATGTTAGTTCATAAATAGTATAAAACATACAACAAATGATAGAGTCTACGATCTTTTATCCTGCTAAATAATCAAACTGCCTGAAATTCTCAAAAACCAATAGTTCTATATACATAATGGCGAAACCTGTGGCTATATTCTCAATACAAAAGCGCTACTCGCTGAATTAAATTGCTTCCTCTAAAATGTTGATTTTGAAACCGTAGTGTGCGTCCTAAACTATTTGATACGAAAACTGATTTATATGTGAGAGTTTTGATATGTATTGGTCACTCGAGGGCAGCATAGAAAAACAAATTATGATAATTGGTATCTTGAGGTTCATTTCAGTTTGAATACGAAAATTATTTGACATTTATCTTATTTTCGACTTAATAAAAATTTATTTTAATGCTTGAGAGGAAAGCAGAACATACAAATATTTAGTGTAATCGTTTAGTATCGAAGGGAAAGTATTTGTAGGAAATATCAATTTGATTTTCCAGCAATTTTGAATTTATATATGAATGAACTTGAATGGACTTCTGTGTCTAAAATGTTTCTCTTTTGTAAGTATAAATATTATGCATAATTTCTGTGTTATTTAATGATTGAAACAAAGAAGTTTGAAACGAATAATACATTTTTATGATACACTAAGGAATTCTAGATAGATATAGTTTTCATTTATTAAAAGGCATAAGATATTTACTTCGAAATTCCAATCATGGCTTTAAAATATTTTCAAAAATTCATATTTATTATCTTATGGGAAAGTTAACATAGCTGGATATTTCTTAGGGTTCGCATTCACCGAACATAATTAACGTGACCTCATAACTAATTATCACGACCTCAGCGAAAAACAAAGCAGCTTCTGATGTCTTAACTTTTAAGTGCATCGCAAACTTGCTTAATTTCTTGTTGAAACACTATCCTCGAGACGTACGGCGTGGTTTACATTTCTAGGTGTATTAAATCCCTTAACTCATTTACTATACAAACAAAGCTGTGGAAAGCCAGAAATTGGATTAGGGCCATTTACGAGCGTGCTTACAATTCAATTATGGCTGAGGTAAACACATTTTATGGCTGCCTTTACGATCACGCTTTGGATTACCCTTCATTATTTTCTAATCAGCTCTTTTAAGAACCCTTCCAAGCACGGATGTGCCATGTGTTGGAGGGAGCCGCTGATTGAATTGCAGAGCAATATAAAGAGGGTGGATGATTAGTGTTAAGCAAAATACGAGTAGATTAGACAGGAATGTGGAATATCAGGAAGATCTCATCAGACATGCATTTCTTAAAGTTTCCAAGTAATAACCATAAATAATCGTTCTTCTATATAGCAAGAAGAAAGCTTCTAAGACTTGTAAATCTGCTGTAAGATAATAAAAGAGTTTCGTATTTATTTTGTATTAATCACCGTTATTTAAACAGCATGAGTAATTTTTATTCTTTCTTAAAGATAGAATTTTCGATAATTTTGCACAATTTTATTTTGTGTTTGAATAGTCAGTTAATGTTTTTTAATTTACCATCAAACGACAGCTAGCCTTACCTTCTCGTATTTTTCTGAAAAGGATCGATCAAACAAGTTTGGTAATATGAAAGAAAATGTTGTAACATGGTTAGAAGGTCTAACATACATTATCTGATGTAGTATTTTACCAATTATTTCTATTCTTTTTTTTTTCGTCTTGTTGACATGGTGGTATATAGAACTAGCTGCCACAGCCTTCGGTAGGAAATGGAATCTCTGAGAAGGAATGGATGTTTGTTAAGGTATTTTGCAGAACTGGGTGATCCGCTTCGGAACTGATTCAAAGAACTAAGCGGACTTACTCCGATTCCAGAAAACGGAGTTTTAAATCTTTTACAGTTCACGTACAGCCCTTGTTGGAAGCGTGCCATGAATAGAGACTTTTGAACAGAGACTTGCTATTCTTTCAAGAACTGATTCAATTTACTGAGCGAGTTTACATCTGTTTCGCGGAAAAAAAGGGAATTGAAGTGACAGAAAAACCTCGGTTTTTATTTTAGGGGAGAAAATAATGTTTATCCACCCATGTTAAAAGTAAATTTAATTTTTACCCTTTTCCAACTTTTTGAAAATTTTTTATTCTAGAATTTTATTGAAAGTTCTGTGTAGAAAGGAAGTTTCAGGAAAACTCCGAACTACAGTTGAAAGAAATCATTTCAGTAAGTTAGCATTTAATTGAGTCGATTCTTTCGATCCAATTTTAGGTCGTTCAGTTCTTTGCGTTTTAATTTCGCTAACCGATTCCAGTCCCAATCCTACTACTCATTCAATATTTTTGCTCTTCGTTCCATCTCGCTAACCGCTCTTGATTTACCCTGGTTCCCTACCTGATTTTTATAACATTTAGTGTTAATAAATTATGAATCGTAAAAAATCTATTCAAGGACTGTAGTTTTAAAATATAGCATTTTTAGATAGGCAATCTGAAGAGGAATGTTCGTGAAATTTGACAGACAGCTGCTATCATAATTAGCTATATAGGTTTCGTGTAATGATGTGTAATTTACACAAAGATAGATATAAGCATAAAACAAGTAAGGTAAAACACTATTAATTCCAAAATTAATTGTAACAAAAGTACTATTAATTACATAATTTCCGTTGAATTCAAAACTAGAAAGAACTCATAATGTTTATAAATGTATATATTGCATTTGCAGATGGCAAGAGATATCATTCATAAAATTTTTCTTCGGGCCCCTTTGGTTATTAGAGATTATTCGGAGTAAGAAATACAAAATGCCAGTTGTAGTCTGATCGTATTCAAAGTAATACAGATATTCTGCTCTGTTCGACAGACTAGCCACTGGAGCAGTATTAAAATTCAAACGCATCTCAGTTGCAAGTTAATTATGATAAAACACAAATAATACATTAAAAAGCCTATTAGGACTGGAAAACGAAAGATACGATCATTTAAAAATAATAATTATTATTATTTTGGTACTGAACAAGATTAAAGTAAATTGAAAAAAAAAGTCTTAACTTTAAATACTATTAATTACAGAATTTTGTGCAAATTGGTATAAATAACGGATTTTATTTAGAATAGTATAAACAAATTATAAATAGAAAACGTTGGCAAAACTTATCTTCGAAAAATATGTGATAAAAATATGGATTTTTAACTCAAATTCCATAGTAGTGAATAAATGTAATTAAAAAGCTGTATTTAGTCGTCGGAAATGGCATTTTTATATTTTGTTTTAGTACAGAAGTAGAAAGGAGTTATTAAGCTTGTATATATATGAAAGAAATTAGATTATAAAAATGTTGTTGAAACGTTTTACCATACAAAAATGAGTAACTTCTTATAGTTTCAGGGCCAGCGATTTTAAAAATTGAGTAGGAACCAGGAATAAAAACTTATTTCTTTCTATTAACTAAAACAGTAATGAATTTCGAAATTCCTTCTCTTCAGTTTCCTGTGCAATAAAACAAAATACAGAAAAGCAAAATCTACCGACATTCAAATGACCACTTTCATCTCAAACTCTTGGGGGAGGAAGAATTACGGAGCAAAGGCAGACAGAGACTTACTTTTCTCTAGTCGGTCCTTCCCTGGAACCTGCAAAGAGAAGATACAACCATTTATGAGACTCTCATAAAATATTTTTATCTAGAAAAGCCATCTAAACTTTCTCCTTCTGCAGAAAGAGAAAATGTTAAAATGCGATCTGCTTCGCTTCTAGAAAAGAATGGCAGAAGGTGCGTTATAAAAATGATTCACGCCGCATTGCTACTCTCCGGGTAACCTCAAGAGTGTGTAACCAAGAAAAGGGAAGAATTTTCACTAGAGGTAATTTGGTTAGGAAGGAGCCTCTTTGCATGCGAGATGAGAAAAGGCTGTCCAAATGTGTGATGCTCTTGAATTTTGTTTCCTTTGAGACTTAAAACGCGTCATAATTGTATGAAAGAAGGAGAGGCTTCAAGAGGAATAATTTTTGAAATGCGGGTTTTTGATACTAAGTGTTTCGACGCAGAGACATTAGGAAGCAAAGTATGAATTATTTGATGAAAAGAGCCTTCAAGTTTTGGATGGGGAAAACTACTTAGTAGAGCTTTGCATGTTCAAGTAGAACTGAAAACATAAAAAATTTAAATCTGCATATGGAAGTTGATAATATTCAAAGAAACGGTTTTACATTTCAGGAAATTTTTTCGAACTTCCTGAAATACAAATACAGTCTTATGCCCATTTTCTCGAGGTGATTTGCATGTTGAAAGAAAATCATAAATTACTGTAAAATGTCAAGAATATTAAATTTTGAAGTGAAATAATTTAATGTGATATGAGAAATTTAAATCCAACTCTGTTGAAAAAGTGACTAAATTCCATAATTGGAGACATAATCTATTGGAGCATAATTTCGACAGATATATTTAAATTATTGATATTTTGTTAAAATACTAATCGGTGAGCCCATCGCATGAGTGGTCTGCTCATCAAAGCAAAATTTATAAGTTTTATGCAACCCTCAAACGAAAATGTATAAAAGCATTTCAGTATGAATGAAATCAATACAGGTTTTCAAGCAACAATCTTTTGACACTTTAGGCTAATACGTATGAGGTTATGATTTAAACTTAATGTAATATAACAACTTTTTATCAATATCATTAAAAGAATTAACGTAGCCATAACATTCAACCTGAAACAAAAAATACCAACAGCTATTTATTTAAAATGTTAACATTAACGAAAGCTTTTCAACATAAAATGACGTCACATGCAATCGCGTACTTTCTTTAACGTCAGAATATGGTCGTATATAATAATAATATGTTTAATGTTTGACAGTGCTATTTTTTTTTCATATTTTGTAAAAACTTGCAAATTTTTGATTAACAAACTCTACGATTTGATAGCGCGCAGTGGTAACACTTTACGAAATAAAGCAGATTTTTATCACCAGAGCGCCAGACTGTTGTCACTCAGAAAGATTAGAACGAAGATTAGCGTTTACAGATTTTTTAGTTTATATCAGTTCTGACTAAAGTCGTACGAAAATGAGAATGGTCGAAATGGCTTCCTATGAATTTTTGGAATCCGGGGGTACCTGCTTCGAAACTCAACTCCCAGCCGTTCTCGTTTTGCGATTTTGCGTCCAATCGCTCTTAATGTCCGTTTCACTTTTCAAACTGTTGCCTCCAAATATTATCACCCTGTCTTATATTTGAAGAAATTAAATAATGAAGAATCTGCACAAATGTACGTATGTTTCTCGCATTGTGATAAAACAGCGATACCTAAAGCCATCAAATTTTGAATGACGTAATCCTACTGCGAATATGGGCATCTGGAAACGCAAATCTGAAATTTAGAATTTGTTTTATTATAGATTTCATATTTTGTAAAACTTTATGGAATTTTTATATGCTACTATCATTGTTATCGTGCTAGATTTGATCATGACATCGTGATTATTAATACGAGCGAATTAAACTATATATTTCAAAACTATATTTTTTTAAACAGGTGTTAAAATATAGCAAGATAAATCTTCAATAGACAAACAGGCGAAAGCAAGATAAAACTATGTATTATTTTCGACGAATTATACCGAGAATACTTATGAAATTATCAAACTAATTCAGTTGAAACAGTCAAAGGCAAAACGTCTTTTTCTTGTGTATAAAAACTATTTGTATCTGAAGTTCCTTTCGGTATTCCACTTGCGTTTTATTAACCATATTTTCATACTTATCAGAAATATTTAATATTAAATTTTAAGTGTCTTTTCCTCTTTAATAATTTTAACTATTACTGATTATTAAAGATACACTTCTTGAATCTTGCAGTAAATTCTACAAATATTCTTTCATTAGCTTTACTATTGATTCCATGTCTCATTTAATCCATGATCCATTTCATTTTTACCGATAAATTATCAATTTAAAGCCTAGTTTTATATTATTTCACTGCATTTCTGTTTCTTTTCATTTTTCAAAGTAACATCTTTGTCTGGGTGTTGCTTGTGCATAATTTTCGTGCTCTACATGAAAGCGTGTCTAATATTTTTACATGTCTGACAGCACATATGAAAAGGATGGGTGCACTTTCCCTAAAGATGACGAAACATAGAGTGAAAAGATGACTCTATGCACTTCATTGTATCCCACAATAATAAATCTTTACAGTGACAATTAACTGATCATGTCGTTAGTACTCGAAATGTTTCGATTTTGTTAGCAAATCAAAATGCATTTTTCTTAGCGTTGTCTGGTTGAGTCAATATTAATATGCATTTATACACTCTTAAACAAAAAAAAAGACCCACCAAGAAGGAGTTATCCGAATGGGACGAAAATCGGTAGAAGAGATGTACATGTACAGAAAAACAAATGATTAAAGTTTGAGAAAAATTTTATGAATTATTGAAGTGACAGAGCTTCACAAAGTGAAAAAGTCAGTACGCGTTTGTCCACTATGGCCCTTATGCAAGCAGTTATTTGGCTTGGAATCGATTGATAGAAGTTGTGGATGTCTTCCTGAGGGACATCGTGCCAAATTCTGTCCAACTGGCGCGTTAGATCGTAACATCTCGAGCTGGTTGGAGGGCCCTTCCCATAATGCTCCAAATGTGCTCAGTAGGAGTGAGATCCGGCGAGCTTGCTGGCCAAGGTAATGTTCGGCAAGCAGTAGAAACATGTGCAGTGTGGGAGCGGGCATTATCTTGCTGAAATGTAAGCCCAGGGTGGCGTGACATGAAGGGCAACACAACGGGCCTTAGAACTTCGTCGACGGACCGCTGTGTTGTAAGGTTGCGACGAATGACAACCAAAGGGGTCCAACTGTGAAATGAAATGGCACCCCAGACCATCACTCCTGGTTGTCGGCCTGTCTGCCGGAAGACAGTCAGGTTGTCATCACGCCGCTGTCCGGGGCGTCTCTAGACTCGCCTTCGCTGATCATCGGGGCTCAGTTAAAAGCGGGACTCATCACTGAAGACTATTCTACTCCACTCAGTGACATTCCAGTGCGAATGAGCCCGACACCACTGCAAACGGACTTGACGTTGTACGGAGCTGAATGGCAGTTGGCGCAAAGGAGCGCCGTGACCTCAGCCCCCTTTCTGTGAGCCGACTATGAATGGTTCCTGCGGTCACTGAAGCACTAGTTGCACGTACAATCCATCATAATGATGCATCTGGGGCTGTGAGTGCCGCTCTGACGATTGCTCGGTCTTCACGTTCTGTCGTTTCTCTAAACCTACCGCTTCCTTCTTGACGCTGTGTGCGCCCATGGTTCACCCATTCCTGCCAACATCGTCTAATAGTGTCATCGCTCCTGCTCAAATGTCGAGCTATTCGCCTATAAGACCAACCGGCTCTCTGAGTCCACTACACGACCTCTCTCAAATTCTGACATCTGCGCATATCTTTTGCACACCTGTATGCGAGGCTTAGTTATTGTCTAGCAGAGTACACGGAATGAAATTTGTGAAGAATTTATGACCTGGAATCCTAATTTCTCCTCTTAAATATCCTGCCAGTTGCGCAGATCAGATGCGCTGTAGTGACAACCGTTCATTCATTGGGAGCCAAAATGTAAAATTTTGCATTTTCGGTCGAAACCTGTATGCATATCAATTTGTGTCCAATTTGCTTTATATCTTCTCGGTTCGTCGTGGTGCGGCGTTTTTTTTTTTTTTTTTTTTTTTTTTTTTTTGTCTAAAAGTGTATATATAATAGCGAAAGCAGCATCCAGATTAAGAAAGAAAAATATGGTAAAATGGCCGTTCTTTTTTCTGGGACACATCAAGTGACATACATAAAATTTTTAATGAATTATTATAATGTTAAAATTTTCAAACTTTTGCTCCAAATAGCAAATACAGTAATGACAAAATGTTCAATAACAAACTGAATAATCACCAAACTTCTTTACATTTCAATGGAATCGGAATTTTTTCAAACAAAGAGAAAAAAAATGAAGGAAATGATTTTCTTTTCTACGAAACATTTTATGACTATTAATTACTTTGAATTTAAAAAAGATTGCTTCCTTGGATTAAAAAATTCCTAAAAAAGATGCATATGCTCAAACATGGCTTAAATCTTGTTAAAATGTTTTGGAGAAACGACGCAAACCATTCATCTTTAGCTGTTTTTATCATATTTTCTTAATATCCTCCGAGTGATGTTATTTCTTTTTTGATAGTGACCGTTGAAGTGCATTTGTAAGTAAAATGTAATCTGTGCTTTTGTCTACAGCTTAAAATCTTTTCCCCTGAATAAGGTTAAAGTGATAAAATGTCAGTCATTTATCCCAACATCTGAAAGGAATGAGAAATGAGAATCACTTATTTGCTCCACACGGGGAAACAACCTATTAGTAAATATTAAAATTTAATTGAAGTTAAAAAGTTTAATGATTCATTTGTTGTTTAGTAAATGTATTAGATAAAATTTTAAAGTATTAATTGTTTTTTCAATGTTACTCAGTATCAGCGGCTGAAACAGCTTTCGAAGAAAGCAGGACAAATAGTTGAAATATAAATTTTAATCTAAAATTGAATACAAGCTGCACTAAATGTCCTTCAATAGTTACAATAGATATAATTGATAATTTATGTACTGCGATTAAAAATTAAGCTAAGAGGAATCAAAAATTTCATAATTAAACAGTTTGAAGTCTAAAATGCCTTCCAGCTTATTATCATCTTTCAATGCTAACTTATTCTGATTTATGTACAACCTATTCAATAATTTTTATGCCATACACGCGGCTTCACACATTTAGCAATTCTTCGAAGTCAGTATACGTTTCCTTTCACGATAACGAACATTTCCTTCTGATGTATTATACAAACTCACAGACAAGAGATACTCCTCTGGTGTCCTTGGATAAATTTCAAGAAAAACGCATGTAGTTTAGAAGAAATCTCCAAACATTTTTTTTTCGCGTACCACTAAGGGGAAATCAAGCTGTTCCTAATATAATATAAACATTACAAAACCTAGTATACATAAATAAATGTATAATATACAGCATTTACGCTCACATTTTTTTCCCTAGTGTAGTTTCTCGTTATTTTAGCATATGATTTAAAAACTTCTAATTTGTGGTAACAACGTAAAATGTATGCACAGACAATAAATTATTTTGTGAAAGTGAAAGGAATATTATTAAAATTGATAAGTATTTATTTAAATCTTTGCTGTATTTATTTAAATCATTTATTAATAGATTATATTTACAATAATTTACTAATATTAGTATGTCTTTATGTATGTTTTAATAGGCTATCATTTAAACTGTCTCTTCAGAAATAGTATAAATTGTGCAATTTCGCCCTCTCTGTTTTCAAGCGGAAGGGAGAAAATACGCGGGAAAGTATGGTAGGTATTATTTAAAATAGTATAAAATATATTATGTTATATTAAGCATAGTATTATTGTACATATTATATTATATTCGCTCATGGACTTTAAATCTTGTGCATTTATGACGTTAAGCTCAGCAGAGCCTATTGAAACCAGACACAGGGACCAAAGAGGGAACCTCGTACATATACATGATATGCCGATCATATACTCGAAAGTGATCGTGAGCTTAACTCTTTGGCAAACCTCCAAGTATCACTTTGTATACCCCCTCGGATATACGTATCCCACTTTGGAGACCGCTGATTTAAAATATCAACATGTTGTGGCGAAGAACTGATTTTATTCATGTGACGGAATTAACCATTTTACGATTTTCAAATGCAACACTTTCATGTACATGAAATTTATATATTCACCTCAATACTCACAAAAATTGTGCGTATGATCTAGCGATTACAGATATTTTCCTTTCTTAAATTTAATTCACAATTTGCATTTCTCTAGCTCATTACTAAATTGCTGAAATATTTTATTGGGGTTTGTTAAACTATTAATGAATCGTTTTTCATTCTATTTTCCAGAACTGTTCTTTTTTTATGTTACTGCGAGATAATGAGAAAGTAACCGAACAATATCATGAAAACGTAATATATTTTACAACAAATGAATACCCACCAGCTTCTCTTTCTTCCTCTCGCATCCTTATAATGAATACAGCTATACCAGCAACGAAGACTAATGCTGCAACCACACCTATCATTACTCCTAGAATAATGTTGATAGATTCCGAAGAAATACCTAAAGAGATATTGAAAATAAAAAGTTTATTAGAATTCCAATAGTACATGCATATTCAAAGGCATTATTTTAAACATAACATCTCTTTTTATACCTTTTCTACGAAACTTACAAATGTTTTTGTTGTTTTTATTATTCAAACTATTAGTTAAACAATAGAATAATAATTTTCTTATTTTAATACGTTTCACGAATGGAGAAATGTTAAAAAAAATATAATCCCATAACAATCATTGAATTAAATATAACGTTCGTAAGCAAAACTGTTATAAAAGTATATGATATTAATTAGTTTATAGCATTTTTGATAAATTATACAGTAGCATATTGAAGTATTTATTAGAATATTTCTCAAAGATAATTTCTTTCAGTTAATTTCGTCGTTTTTACCTTTATTATTAATAGTTTTTACAAACAGACACAGGAATGTCATTTCAATGAAAACTGGAATCGTAATTTTTTCCACGAATATAGCAATGAAGATATTATTTTTTTTAAAAAAAGGAAAAATCAGAAAGGTTCCAAATTTGAACGGTCACCCAAAAGGGGTTTTGCGCTCTCGATGAGCTCGCAGTCTACCAGTCCGCTGCGGCATATATTTTTTTATTTTTTCAGTTCATTAGATCAATATTCAGTTTTATTAATAAGACACTTGCAAAACTTTTTTGTCTTTTTATTATAAATGTTTTGTGTTATTAATTAAATATTATGTTAAATTTATTAATTAAATATATAAAAACAACATATTTTTAGAATTTCCGATATACAGTCTCGCGCGCGGGAGATAAACTTTTTTTTTTTTTTTCGTACAATATTGCCGCTGCTAGCTTTTAAATCGTTAAGTTTGTTAATCAAATTAAATTCATTAAACGTCTACATAATATGAAATATAAAATTCGAAATGCAAAATTCGGGTTTCTAAGTACACATGTTCGAGTAGAGGACTACGAGATTCAAAATTTGATGGTGGTTGGTTTTCAGAATGCGACGAACATACATCATACATATAGATTATTCATTACTTACATCAAAAACAAAAAAGGACTATAATATTTGGTGGCGACAATTTGAAAATTAATTCAGCCGTTTATAGCAGACGACACAAAATTCCGTTCTGAGACTAACAGCCCAGTAGAGATAATGCTCTTTCGGGTCAATAAGTTAGGAAAACTTACACCAATAGATTCCTCTTAAATTACGATAACATTAAACTTTGGCAACGTTTAATAAGATTAAACCTATCTAAGTTAAATTAACGATTATCGGAGGTCTTAAGGCAACAATGATAAATGTAGGTTTCATAAATTTGCAGATCTAGTTTTGAAGTTTTAAATATAGAACTTCCATCTTCAGCTGCAGAGGAGCAAATGACTTGAAAAGCCACCGGAAACTTGCTTTCCTGCAATTGATCTGCAGAAGTGGTTTCTACAGTTAAAACTTAGAAACTAGTCCTCGAACAGATCTGCAGAAGTGCTTTCTATATTTAAACCTTCGAACTAGTAACTCCCTTACAGAAACTCGTGATTATTATTCAGTCTATTTATCATATGAAAGTATGATAAAGTTTAACAAGATTGTATTCGTTTATAATTTATGATGTAACTTAGCGTTTATGATATAACTTAAAACAAATGATTTTATTAATTGAAAAAATACAGTTTAACGCTCACGTAAGATATATATGAAATTTGTAAGTCATAACGTATATATTCTTCTATATCCCACTCGGTAGATTTTTCTACTTACTCTTTTAAGTTCTGCAACCAGTCTTCACACGTAAATTTCAACTCATTTTCCAAGTTCATATATATGTCAAAGCATTTTCAAAATTTTAAATTTTATAGTTTTTCAGAAAAATTAAAGACAATATCAATTATAGAACAATTTAAAAGTATTCATGACAAATACTATAATAATATCAATGACCTTGTTCCGATCTTGGAGCTGCTTCAGTTGAGCCTTTGATAACTACGGATTGACTCCTTCCCTTCATATTAGCTGCATATATTACAAGTACATATTCTGTAGCAGATGGTATATCTTGAACTATGAACACTGGCTCTAGTCTTGTCATATTCTTTTCTAGGTATTCTTGAGCTTCATTGTAAACTTCTAGGTAAAATTTCTGCTGTAAACCACCATCATATCCTTCTTCACATTCGACTCTTAGGGAATCCGATGTGTAGTTGGTAACGGAGCAATTTCGGACTTGATCTGGGGGGCCTGTGATAAACAAAATCATATTTAGGTTGGTCACTGGCAAAACATCAGCATACTGAAATAGTTTAAAATATATTAATAGAATATAAAATAAGCATATTCAACTAGCTTAATAGTTTGTTAATATTTCTTGTTGCAAAATTAAATATTTCTATTCGAAAATAATTGTGATCAAATTAATGGCTTGATTCCCAAAATTAGAGATAATTTTAGCATATTGTATAATAAATAATATATTCTTCATAAAATTCTAATTTGCGTACAAATTAAAGGGGTAGTCAGTGACCAATCTAAATTGATTTTGCACTCTTCTTGCGCTGTTATATTAAATTATAACCATTGGTATAAATTAACAATAATTAAAATATAAAGATTGATTTATTATTGCAAACCAATTTTAGAACTTATGATGACACAAACAATTATTCTAAAGATTTGGTTTTGAGATTACAAAAGGCTTTTAAATTAGTCAATCAGAATTTAACAGAGGCTGCGGATAAGCAAGAAATTTACGTGGAAAGGAATTCTCATGATAAGGAACATAAAAGTGGGAGATTTGGTGTATTTATACACTCCAGTAGTTCAGCCAGGTATGGCTGGAAAACTCTTAAGTTAAATCAGGGACCTTTCAGGGTTATTGAGAAAGTGACTAAAGTTAACTATAAAATCTCTTCAATTACAAATCCTGATCGGATTCAGACGATACACGTGGACAGACTCACGAAGGTACCAGAGAGAATTATTTTTCCCACACTTCAAAAGGATTGACTCAATTTTGAGAGATAATGTAAAGAACTCGTCACACGATTCACCTTACCATCTAAGGCCTAGAGATACACATGGTTTTGTGTCGAAAAAGTGAAATGAAATATTTTGAGAAATATAGTGTGTTTGTATACAATTTTGGTTAAATTAAATTTATTTGTTTCTGGTAATTGTATTCTTGTAGCTAAATTTTATAATCAATTAAGTATAGTTGTGTAGTCTTCTTGGCTTATCATTGGTCGAGTGTGTTGCATTTGGATTTTACATGTTTTGGCATGTGAGGTTGTGATCAAGTTGTCTTGGCTGGGAACTTTCTAGTCTCAATAGCCCGGGTTTTTTTTTTCTTTCGAGGTTTTGCTGGGCTGGTCCCCGCTTTTCTCCTTTTTCTTAAGTTCAAAATTTTTTTTCTCTCTCTCTTGAAATCCCTTAGCCATGGTAGTCGGGATTTGTTTCGGTTAGAATTTTTGACTAGATAATTTTCCAGCCGACACTTCGTGGTGATTGTCTTCTGTTCTTCTTAGTGCAACTCGTTTTAGTTTTCTTATGCCAAGGATTTATTAGTAGTTTAGTCTGCGCTGTACAGTCGCGGTGTTTACTCGTTTGCCCTCTCGTATTGGGGGGTCTTGGTGGGGTGTCAGTTCTTAGGGAAGTGTGAAATTCTGTGTGTTAGGGAAACTTAGGATTTATACGGTACACTTTTTCCTTAAGCGTACTTTTTAGTTGATATTGTCACTTCAATGGGTGATTGCAAGAACTAGTTTGTTTACATTTTGTGTCAAGCGCCAGTAGCTCTTGAATTGTTTTGCTTTAAACACTCGTATACTCAGTGGTGTTTGTTTATCTACATATATTTTGTTTTACACACTTTTCACTTGATTTGCCTTTGGGGGGTTTCGTGATTTTACATTTTACTTTTCACATTTTATTTTAGGGCGTGTCACGTGTTGTTTGACAACATTTTTATTTTGTTTTGTTTTGATGTATGCTTGTTGTGTGCCAGGGACACTTCTTGACCCTCTTACTCGGTTCACTAAGGGATCTTTGCTAACCATACAATTATGGTAGGATTGGATTTGCTAACCATACAATTATGGTAGAACTGGATTTGCTAACCATACAATTATGGTAGGATTATATTTGCTAACCATGACTTATGGTAGGATTAATTATAATTAGGTATATGTATCCTTCTTTGTGATTAACATGTGGTACCATTATGTACTTTTTTTTCTCTTCGTATTTAGTAACATATGGAAACCTTTTCCATTGTCTGTGGGTCCGAAAATTTTTTTGGCGTCCCGATCATAGGAGGGAATGTTGTGTAGCGAATTTAATTTCATTAAGTGATTCATAAAAATCAAAATTTTAATTCGTAATTATTCAAAATTTGAGCTACACAAGTTTGGTTATATTCTTTTTGGTGTCATGACTCTAGCACATAACACTAGGGATGCTAAATGTAACCTACAGTTGAGATTTATGTAGCTTACATTTTAGACAATAAAGAAAGAAGGTGAAGCAAGAGATGTGGTTTACTCAAGCAGCATCAGGCGGAAAAAAGTAATGCTTACTAACTCCGGTCGTATTTATTGCCGGAAAGTCTTTGTTGTAGCAACTGGGCAAACGTTTAGAGGAATGCGGCTACTGCAGGGAAAGAGTAACATAATATGCTGCAGTGGCGAAAAATGAAGCAAAGCATATCTTTGAAGCGGAGACGAGTTTAATTCAAATTTATGAATTCTATTGCCATTTGGTTCCATTTAAGTTTAATATATTTGTGTCATATTTTATATGAATTTGAAGGCCTATTACCAGTTTGTTCTAATTAAGTCTTATAATGTTGTTTCATATTTTGTATTTTACATATGCCTTTTTTTTTTTTTTTTTTTTTTTTTTTTTGTTTTTTGTTTGTTTGTTTTGGTTTTGGAAACAAGGAAAAGAATGACCTTCTAGCAATGGGGAAAAGAATGCATGGGGCAAAATAGCTTGAGAACAACTGTTGTAAATATTTCCAGGAATTCACATCAGCATATTAGAACATAATAAAAGTACTAAATTTATCATTTCTAGCATATAATTTAGTGAATATATCTCAGTGTAAAATTTATCTCTTTCATTATAGGATATACTGAATGCAATTCGAAATACTCTTTTATTATTATTATTATTAACGCTAGAGAACATAAACTTTCGAGAATTAATTTTTAGTTGGAGTCCAATAACTATCTAGTACTTGTTACATAATCCAAATTACGCAGAAAACTAATGAAAGCATTATTTCTAATTCAGAAATGAACACAATCTTTTGCCCAATTGTAAATAAAATTTATAAAGTCCTCTGAGAAGCTCAGATATCCAAGGAAATCTAACACAAAATTCTAAATAAATGCTCTAATATTTTCTGCAACTAAGTTATAATGAGTTTTTTTATAAAACTTTCGCGTATTGTTTAACTTCGATTTACATTAAGTAGATTTTGAATTAAAGCAAGACGAAATTAGAAAATGAAGATCCATAAGTAATAAAAGAAACCTGATATTTTTCTGTTAAGGTAAAACGGATTACAGGTAACATTGTCTTTGTTGTCGGAATTTTGTGTCTGAAGATGTTGAAGGTAAGGTAAACACAGAATTCATAGATCTTTTATGTTTCATTCGCGGAAATTAGTTTCGAAATTAACATAATGCTTCAGTTTTAAAACGACAGGACTTCCAGATACATATGTTAACATTGGAATAAATTTAAATAATTTATTTGCGATGTGATTACTTATGACGCAGTTTCGTTAAAGATTCGAGTTTTCCTGAAGTATAAGATATAAAATTAAAAGACAATATAATTTTTAGCTTAAAAAATAATACTGATTTATTTATTTTCTTTTCTATTTACAGGTAAAATCCATGGGGCCTACTACAAAGGTTTATCTGAGCTAACGGACACATCTGGTACAACCGATGTAGCTCCACGTTGATGAAAAACCAACTTTTCCTCAGCTGAAAAATCCGAACTTCAAATATAGCGGAACTAATCGACACATTATTATTATTTACGTGTTCTACCCTAAGACACTACACGCAAGAGAGGGATGCCTTCGTGGAGGACTTTCTAAAGGAAAGTGGCTCGTATCAACACATTACACATGGAGAAAACCTCGAAAACATTCATACAGGCAGTCCGTTCGCGTGTTTCGAACATCGGAACGAACTACCAGTATTTAGGCACTTTCACCGCTCGGCCGCTGATGGGCCTCAGTCGCCATATGAAACAGACTGTTAGTTGCGATAAATTCCAGGTCTTACCAGTGAGCTGGAATTTCAGGAAAATATACATATTGTGTCAGAACGTTCGGCGAATATTCGACGAAAACATGGACGAGACACGCACGCATGCGCATTCCTATACACATGCTAATATCGAGTAGTTCCACATACCATATAATAAACGCAAATTAGTAAATATCTCATATTCTTTAAATCGGGGAGCACATGCGTCGGGTCAATTCGCCCTGAGCGTTCGAGCGTAGTAGCCAGTGTTAAAAAATTTAAAGTTAGTATTGAGAACAATAAATCTCATCCTGTTGACTGCTCGCCAGATTAACAATAGAACTAGTAGCACAGGTCTCCTCATCCTTTGACGATGATTGACAGAAAGATCCTGCTCTGAGAACGTTCGACTGCAAATCGCCTTAAGTCATGTTGAAATGAATAATGTCCAGTAACGTAGAATGGCCTCCATAAACCGCCTTATGCTATTTTTAAGGACATGAGTAACAGGAATACCTCAACGGTACTTCATAATTTTATGATCACTTGCTGGGTGAATGACTGAAAGCCTTGTATGTAGGTAGTTCTGTTTGTAATGGCAAGAGTAAGATCTGGTCATACAGAGTTTGTCCGGCAAGTAGTAGCACTGAATATTTTGAAAACAAGTATTCACGGTCTTGATACATCGACTTGATAGATTTCAAAATTGTCCCTTCGTCATCTACACAGCGGTTCCAGCAACTCTGCCAATCACTGAAGGCTACCTGAAACTCAGAAATGCAGCTTCTTCGTTAGGGTCTTTTGAATGGCCTGGACCGAGCCATGGTGCCCTTCTTTCATGGCTCTTTTCAGTCGGGGGAAGAGGAAGAAGTCTGAAGGAGAGACATTTGGGCTGTAGGGTAGCTGGGGAAGTTATGTGATGTGATGTTTGATCAGGAAGTCCACGACAGCAAAGGCGGTGTGGCTTGGTGCATT